GGCTGTTGCTCGCCGGGGGGCGGTGTTGGAGGGGAGCCTGCGGGGCGGGGGGTGTTGGAAGGGAGCCTGCGGGGAGGGGGGCTGTTGCTGGCCAGGGGGGGCAATATTGGAGGGGAGCCTGCGGGGAAGGGGGGGTGTCTGTTGCTGGCTGGGGGGGTGGTATTGGAGGGGAGCCCTGGGGAAAGGGGGGCTGTTGCTCGCCAGGGGGCGGTGTTGGAGGGGAGCCTGCGGGGAGGGGGGTGTTTGAGGGGAGCCTGTAGGGAGGGGGGCTGTTGCTTGCCGGTGGAAGGGGGTGTTGGAGGGGAGCCCTGGGCAGGGAGGAGGCTATTGTCTACTTGGGGTGTGTGTGACAGGGCTTTTCAGGGGGCAAGGTGGTGGGCAGTGGAAGAGGACCGCTCCTTGCAGAGCAGCAGGAGCTGGGGGAAGATGATACTAGGCAAGGGAATCAGACTCTCTTGCAGCCCCCATCCCACATAGCTGCTGATCAGGGGTTCTTCCTCAGCCCAAAAATGTGCCTATGCTACAGTTAGCCTTAACTCTGACCCTTGCCTGCTTTCACATGTAACACAATAGCCACTTGCTAAGGTACCTAACAACTTGGAAGCAAGAGGGGCTAGTAGCTCGGTAGAAGGGGACTGATTGTGCAGAGTGACTTGAGTTGTGCCATACTTGGCAGGATAGATGAACAGTAGGAAGATATGTCAGTTACGTAAAGGCACTGGGTACAGTGTGGCCTCTTTTATTTAATAACTAGTGTTCTGTATCTCTTGTTAGTTTTATTTATTTATATTCTTTATGCTTGAGTGCTCTAGCTGGGGGGAGGGGGTATTATGCAAGGCAGTGTAGGGATGTAGAATAGAATAGTCCCTGTGCTGAAGAGTTTACAATCTAATAGGATAGACCAACTGCTATAGAGCTATGGACAAATTGTCAAAAGAATAGAATTTGTAAGTTACAGTTTCACCCCAGTCAACCTCCTTCCCAGCCCTGGCTCAGCCTGAGTGGCCTCCTTACAGTGGACTCACAGAGAGCACTTGGCCTCAGTCTGGGCAGGGGAAGAGAAATGCCAACAATTTCTGAAGGTATATGCCCATGGTTGCTTCTCTCTCCTGCAGAGTGGGGAGACACCTGGCTCGTCCTTGCAGGGCAGGCAGCCTACATGGCTCATGAAGAAGACTGAAATACATCTTGTGATACATGACCATTCATCAAATTTCCCTAACTCGTTAGATATTTGCTGCTGGTGCTATAGTTTCCCCCTTAACTAATTTTTGCTTGTAGGACAAATTCATAATCATATCATTGTGTTTTCATGTCAGAACAGGATAGTTTTTTTGCAGGTCCAAAACTGAAATGGTCCAAGAAATGGCAAGTGAATGGCTTAATGATGGATTATTAGTGATGATTCTCTGTATCAGCCCTGTTGCCCCATCTGGGTACCTTCCGTTCTGTTGTATTCACTTTTATTGTCAATAGAGCACAGGGCTGTTTTTGTGCATACACTATTGGATGTTAAATCTGCTCAAGTTTGACTATCATAACTTTACCATTATGTGATTGGATCACAGAGGCTATACATCCTCCTATTTCTTCAGGGTTGATAATTCCAGATTTTAAAGGGCATTAAATGCCTAAATACCTCTAGCCCTTAGTCTCTTATTTTGGATCACGGCTGTATGCTGTGTTCTAAGCAAAGTACTATCTGATATAAACTGTAAATTGTGTGACGAAGGTTTCTAGCGGCGACATCGTTTAGATCTCATCCTAATCATTGTTCAAAACTCTGCACTGAGCTGTTCCACTTACTCTCTGGGAAATATGCAGCAGATGCTTGGGGAGGATCTCCTGGAATTAGGCCTGGTTGGGATCATAGAGGGGAATGGACTTTCTGAGAATGTAGCTCTAACCGGGGATTTGTAAAAGTTAATGGTGAGCAGGAGGAAGTGTCCATGTGGCAGAGCTCTGCTCTGGAGCAGTTTTGGAATGGGGAGGAAGGGTGTGTAGTTTTGTGGTTATGGCACAAAGGAGCTTACAGACTACAATATTATTCCTAGGTATTTCTGGCCTCCATAGACTTACAGTGTGACCTTAAGCAAGCCACTTGACTTCTCTGTGCCTCAGGTTTCCTATCTGTAAAATGAGGCTAATATTTCTGTTTTTCATATGAATAAATTCAAGTTTGTAAAGTGCTTAGGTATTAAATTGAGTGCCATAGAAATGCCTATAAATTAAATAAGAACTTCACAGCATAGACTCATTCCCTCTTATAGCTCTCTTAAGGGAGATAGGAAAGGAGCCATCCCCAGCTCCACTTTGGTAGAGCTTTTGATGTAACCTCTCCTGGAGCACTGAGGAAGCACTGCAGCTGGGGGGAAATACCTCTTCTGGAGAGCTCTTAAATTCTGCTGGAGCAAGTGCTTCTTTCTGTTGCCTGTATTTTGTTTGGCTCCTTCAGTTACTTCCAGTCTCCCCAGCTGCCAAGCCCCTGACATCCCTTTATGTGGCAGCCTTACAAAACAGAATTATGCAGCCACATAATCTCATAGTACACAGGGCCTTGAATCTAAGCCACAAACATTTCTATTTGTTCATGAATGGCAGTTCTAAGCCTCAGTTGCATGCTGCCCAGGAAACGTAAGTAGAGTTCCTGCGTTTGTGCTTTCCTTATACAGTACATTCCTTAGCCAAATGAATGTCGACTCTGGTCTGTCTTGTCTTTCCTATAGGGCTAATTGCTAACTGTTTGATTGGGCTTTGGCTACTGCTGTTTGCTGGATTCTCCAAGGCAGATCACTTCCTGCTGTTAAGTGGACATATTGCCATTTTGCTGCTCTCACAAACAAGCTGCCTCATGCAGTTCCTTGGATTGCCAACGTACGTGTCACCACAGGATGATTCCTTTCTTATCCTCCAAACCTTTGGTGTTTGCTCTTGCCAACCACTCTTGCTCCCCTGACCAGAATTTTTCTGTCATATTTAGGCAAGCTCTTCCCTCAGTCTGCTGAAGACCCACCTCCTTGGACCCAACTCCAGCTGAGGTCTTGCTGTAGCAGTACATCAAGAGAGCCCAGCTGTTATTTAGGCCCTCTTTTGTCAAGGGCACAACTCCATCCTTGGGCTGCTGTTCCCTTCTATGCCTGGAATTAACAGTGGCTCTTCTCTTCCCATAGAGTGAGATCCCAGGCAAATATAGAATTGAATAATGCTAATAAAGCTAAGATAAGTTAGTTTTTAGTATCTAACAGTTTAAATTTAGCACTGCATGTCCTAAGAGAACTGTGCCAATCATATTTCCCACTTGTTTCAACAGGCTTGCTTAGAGCTAGAAGGCTGTAAAGAGAGAAGACCTGAGAAATAGGGCACATCATTCTACAGAATGTGTTATTAAGTAGTTTTGCTTTTAGAATGATGACATTTTCCAGACTGGCTATCCCATGAATGTTTGGATATTTGAGTAATGATCCAGAATTCCCAAAGGGTTAGAAAGATTTTTTTCTTTAAAGTTGCTGACTGATTTTAGTACTAGTGAAAGATGTCCTCTTGTCTGAAGTTATCTGCAAATAGGTGCAGCACCAGGACAAATTTCCCTATGTTGCCCTGTCAGTGTGCCTCAACATCATACTCACCTTTGTCTTGGCCTTTCTGCTGAGAAGGTTATAAACTGTGGTGTAGTGGTATTTGTGTGATGGACAAAGACTACAAACTTGCTTTATGCATGCTGCCAAACTCCATCACATACCATTGACTTTTCAGTACTACCTACTTGGGTTGAACTACTGACCTATAATCTTCTAATTCAGATAGACTAAACAATGAGTTATCCCAGAAGTCTCATTAACTACAAAATCTCTCCCTGAAAGGTTATTTTACAATGATATTCTAGGTATAACTATATTAGTCCCTAAACTTGTACCTCTAGCACAATACTAAAAGTAAATCTATAGGTTGTAGTATTGGAGAGAATGGAAAAAAATGCTTAAAATACGTTTTCTACATGTATTTTCAGACCTTCTTCCCCAAAATATGGCACTTTAAAACCCATGTTCTTTATTAGTTAGAACAGCATTTTTTAAAAAAACAACAACAAACACTATTGACCCACAGATTAGATTTTAATCTACTATTTAAATGCTCCTCTTATCTCTTCCCTCTCTCTGCCCACCTTGGATTTAGAATAGTTGTGAATTAAGAATTTGGTTTGCTTTCAGTACAAAACCTTAACTGAACTTTTTCAGCTCAGATCCTACTGTGATGGGTATAAAAATCTAAGATGGAACTTTTTCAAGTGATAATTAAAATATACAGTAATCCTAAATAAACTCTTGTCTAGTCTTCTCCTCTTTCTCCATTTCTGTACCTTGAGAGGTTCCCTTCTCATGTTGCGGAGAGTGACTTCAATACAATTTTATCTGGAAAGCTCATGTTTCAAGTCTTAAAAGACCTACATTGGGAGAGTCTTTTGCTTTGTAAGCTTAAAAGTTGAAAATTAGCCTTGTTGCAAAACAAAACTTGCTGAAACTTAGTCTATGCTTCTATCTGTAAGCTGAACTGTGAAAACTGACCTTTTATT